CCCCTTGATCACATTTATCATTACTCCTTTCTGAATCCCCACAGGAGAGTAAAGGAATAAAAGAGGCAGAGATTAGTACTGTCATTAAAGACTTCAGAGATTCTTATCACACCCTGATATTGTTCCTTATCATCAACTGTGGGGCCTGTGCAGTAACTCATCACAGACCTAATTAGCCGTGGTTCTGGATGTGGTCATCTCAGGCCAGTTGCTGCCCTGCACCTGATTTCACTCTCACTTTGTAAGCAGGCTGACTCTGGGCGTCTTCTCTTGCAGGTTTGAGCTGTCAGGACTGTCAGTGCACTAGCTCTTGTGGCTCCCCTCCACTCACACCTTTGTAAATAGCCCCTTTTGTAAATAAGCTCTCCACCAACTGAAGGGAGAAAAACCTCTCCAATAGCTTTGTGTCAGGCAGAGTAAATGAGTCAGAGTCCTTGTGATGGCCTCTGAGCCCTTCTGTGATTTTACCTCCTTGCCCCTCTGACCTCACCTCCTCCCCCTGCCACCTCGGCTTGCTTTGTTCTGGCCACCCTGGTCATCTTGCTGTTCCTCAAACATCCTAGACGTGCTCCCACTTCAAGGCCTCTGCAATTTGCTGTTCCCTGTACCTGGTGTAATCTTCTACTACATGCCAAGTCCCCCCGCCAACACTTAGTGGCATAAAATATTTTGCAAAGGAATGGATCAAACATCTTTGTTTCCATTTCTCAAGAGCTCCAAGTATTTACTGTTGCTCAAAAAAAAAAAAAAAAAAGGAGGTAAGAAGCAATTTGAACTATCTGCATTGTCTTGAGCAGTGTTTCTCAAATGATCTATAGTGAAGGACCGGGTTTTAAAAATTATTTCCGGCTACTGCTGACCAGGCTGTAGTCCTGCTGTGCCGAACGAGATTGCAGCTCGCACTTCATGGGACGCACATGCTAGCTTGACAACTAACCCAACTGGCTTCTAGTCTCTAAAGGAAGAACCTGCTGATTGCTCTTGGTTGTGGCGGCAGCGGTCAACTGCTGTAAGTGTCGGAACTTCGTCACAGGTGGGTAACAAACTCGTTTGCCGGTTCGCGCCAGACCACACTTTAGGATCACTGGTCCAGAGGGGATCTCTCTTTTGGCAAGGTAGCTAAATCATAGATGGGAAGACCTTTCTGGTCACAACGACTGCTGCTAAAGGATCACAACACTATACTAATAGCTTAGGATGAGTTGCAAGTTTTCTTCAAAGAAGAGTTTCTCCTCCTAAGAGTGAAAAGACATTAGAGGTGATTTGTTTTTTTGTTTGTTTGTTTTCGGTATGCGGGCCTCTCACTGTTGTGGCCTCTCCCGTTGCGGAGCACAGGCTCCGGACGCGCAGGCTCAGCGGCCATGGCTCACGGGCCCAGCCGCTCCGCGGCATGTGGGATCCTCCCGGACCGGGGCACGAACCCGTGTCCCCTGCATCGGGAGGCGGACTCTCAACCACTGAGCCACCAGGGAAGCCCCGAGGTGATTTGTTTTTAATTTTGTTGTTTGCGTTTTTTAATATACCATTTATCCACATATATAGTCAAGGTCAGTTAACTGCTCAATTTTCAAATTGGAAATGAAAATTGCATAGCTGAAAGCCAAATGCACATTCTAAAACAGAATGTCAGTACAGGATGTAGAATGAGAGGGTAGCAGGTTATTCGATCATTAGATATACCATCCACATAATATTAGATGCATATGTGATATTTTAACTGGGTGATACTAAGTAAGGATATTATTTCTTAGGTAAAATTTGAGAATTCATGAATTGAGCTGAATCTATTAAAAATTGTTGAATCCAAAATTGTAAGGTCTGTAATTACATAAATTACATTAATAAGTCATTTCAACAGAAATATTCTTCATTAGGCAGTTTCAATAAAGTATGAAAATGCAGTAAATAAGTACATTTAAAATTTTTCTTTTAATTGGGTCATAAGTTTTCAGTACCAAATAAATTGCATGACAGTTTGTAATTAACATTTTACCGTCTAACTCTGTGAGGGGAAAGGTATGTATAGGTTACTTTAAAGGTACAGTGTGCTTTCCCCTACAGCCTCCAACTCCTATTCCCCAAGAATATTAAGGATTTTCAAAGGCACTGAATCTTTGAACATTAGCTAGCTTTATGACAAAAATCTATCCCAAAGGGGTAGAGAGAATACAATTTAAATGTTATATCAGCTCTTACTTTAGCAGATATATTTTGGGGTCATTACGTAAATATATTAAATAATTTGAAAACTTTTTACTTTTTATTCAGTATGGAGATTTATTCCCAGAGCGGGGCTTTTCTGATGCAAAATTGGAATGCTTGTGTAGTCAGAACAGCTGTCCCCACCCCATGGGGTGTCTTCCATTACAGTAGAGATGAATTTTTGGCCCAGTGTCTCAGTAGTATTGGACACACGTGGTTTTAAGTGGCAAAGCGGTATGCGTATGCATTCATTTGACTTTCAGAGCTACAGTTGGCTCCAGATTAGAGCAAGGAGAATACATTCACACCAAGGCCACCCTCATGGCTGCTGCAGTAGCTGGATCACAGTAGGCTCTGTTGCTTCTAAAGACACAACCAACTATTGCTGAGGAATTACACATTCACCAAAGTGCCGTACAGCTGGAAGAGAGAGAATAATGAACTGGTAAAAGGATTCTTTCAAAGATTTCAGATTATGGTCCTAGTTATTATTGATCTAGTTTTTTAATATTAATAATAAAATCATGGCTGTGAAATAACAGTGAAACTAAAAGGAAAGATTTTCAAGGAAGTAGATGATTTTTCAGGATATTCATCCAAATATTTGATTTAAATCTTTTCCTTTCCAGAAAAAAGTGGCACTATCCTTTTAGGCTCATTCACAAGGAATTAAAATTAGATTGATTCTTTGTTGATTGATTCATTGTTGATATATGCAGCATATTTGGAAGGCCAATCTATTAAAAATAGATTAAAGAATTAGTTTACTCTGTGAAAGAATGGCTTATATTATTGACATTTTAGACAATTTTGTTTCCTACAAAAATGTGTTTGTTATAATTAATGCAGAAATAAGATCTGATTTAGTGTGAAATTGCATTGATACACTATATGGTTGGAATACTCTATCTCTGTGCAGCGTCAACTTAATGCTGTTTATGTATGACCTTGTACTATAAGCTTATATTTAAATGCTTCATAACTTTTGCATTTTGAAGCCAATTGGTATAGTTATTCAAGTTTCAGCTTTTTAGCAAAAGCGATTTCCTAGAAAATCCAATTATGTCTGTCTAAATAATATCTGAATAATGCTTTTTCCCCTAAGTAAAAACAAACAAGCAAAAAGTAAAAAACCTGCAGTGTAAATTTTTAATTTATCTGATATGGAGAATTAGATTTCTGATATTCATTAAATATCAAGGAAATTCCGACCATACTCAGTGTAGGCTACCTTTTTATAGAAGGGAATTTATGCATGTTTCGTAAGGGTTGTACTGATGAATATGTTTGAGGCTTTCAGCTTTTAGTGGATACAAAATAGAATGATTGATAAAATCCTCCCTACTATTGGCTATTATTTACTGACTCTTAAGTGGCAGGTTGTATTTATGCCAATTTATCTGCTTCAGGGAACATTCTTGATAGCAGAACAAAGTGAATAAAAGTAGTTTGCTTTGCAAATGAATGCAAATGGGAGAGCCTTTCGGAAAGCCCTTTAACAGGGGCAGTGCACTTTGATTATGAGTGAAGCTGCCATTTGGACATGGTGAAAAGAGCACGCTTGAACCATTGATTGGGGGAGACAGTAAAAAGTCAGGAAGGGCCCCCTTAAGCTTGCGGTGAGGCAGGCGGATGTCAGTGTGGTTAGAGCACAGTGGGAGAATGACAGGGAGGATTAGTGTCAGGGAGAAGCTTTGCTGTAGCTGTGGAGATAGTCCCTGGGGTCACTCACCTCTGGCTGTTGTCTGTGCTGATGGTCCTGTAATGCATACGGCCTGATGTATGCCTGTTCATTATCGGAAACAGTGATTAGAAAAGGTATTTGTCTCAGAGGTTTCCTTCCTTCTTTCTTTTTTCTTTCTTTTTAATTAAAGGAAAATAAGGTGGCTTCCTCCATCTCTCTGCTGACTCCTAGAGTCTTGTGTTGTACCATTGTGGCTACTGCCTCTGGTAGGAAATAGTTCAGTGCTGTAATGTAAAATAATTGTAACGTGGCTATCTGTTCTTTGATGATGGTTTCTTTTGCTTTGCTCTACTTTGGGTTTCACCAAGTGGTAATGCTGAATAAAATGCAGAGAATATGCTTGCTCTGAGAATTTTGGCTTTTGCAAAAACAGATTTTTATCATCTTTAAGGTATTTTATTATTCAATTTAATAATCTGATCAACTTTTAGAAGCTATTTACTTTCTCAAAAAGGAAGTGTTGCTTTGCATGGACTGGGTGGTTTAAGTCTTGGCTGCAGGATTTTCTAATTTCTATTCTCAAGTTTTACAAAATGCTAGCACTTGATAAATTAACTTCTTGAAAATACATGCTTTTTAGAATTAAATATCGTTACGTAGAATGAACAAAAAATATATCTTTGTCTCAGTTCTGATTCTGAATCAGTCCATTTACTTGTTCACATTTTCATTTACACTTATAAAGTTTTTTTGCTTTTTTAATCATTTTTCTTAAAAACTTCAAGACCTTCTGTGGTAAGCTCACATGAGGCATTTGTGAGCATTAGTGACACAATGCACTTCAAAACAACTGTCTTCCTTTTTTTAATGTCTTTAAGAGCCTGGGTTCACAGTACTTCTTTATTATTTGGCGTATGTTGGAGCATTTAAAAGGCTGCGGGAGCTTTGCATTCTAATGTTAAATATGCAACTCAGACCTTCACCTAAACTAGTAGAGACGTTTTAACATTGTTATTTTTGCGGAAAGCATAAAGCCAATACTTGGTTTCACAGGTTTATTAAATGTTTTAGCGAACATTCTCTGAATTATTTTTTTTTCTTTAATGTTTTGCAGGCACCTGAATGGACAGAAGAGGACCTCAGCCAGCTGACAAGAAGTATGGTTAAGTTCCCAGGAGGAACCCCAGGTCGATGGGAAAAGATTGCCCACGAATTGGGTCGATCGGTGACAGATGTGAGTTCACTGAGATTTGCATTGAATGGAGAGTGAGAAACCAGAATAAGCCAACTTTGTAGAAGGCAGACATAGATGCATCCAGCATTATCTTTGGAGAAAGCCTACAATCTTTTTAAGGACCTGGAAGTGAACCGTTAACAAAATAAGCAAGAAGCAGATGTCAGCTAGTGCCCTGGTCTACAATTAACAGCTGTGTGAGGCATTCTGGTGTTTAGAGACTTAAGCTACTGTAACCTAATCACAGAAAAACAATGCTAGTTTTTGTTTCGAGTGACCCCTTTAGCTGTGGGAAAAAAATATAGTTCTCTGATCAGAATTAGAGAAGTTACATTTCAGCTGGATCTTTTTAACACTGAAGTACAGATTGCTATAGGTAGTTGACAGGTGGTTTGCGTTAATTAAATGAGCAATATTCCTATGTTTTTATTTGAAGGATGATACCTACCATTCATTTTGACAAGTTGTTTAACCAAAAAATTGTTCTATGCATATAGCTTTATAATTATATGTAATGTACATTAAAAGTGTATAACTATAGATTTATATATATACTATAAACAATATATATTTAAATTATATATGATTTATATGTGACTAGTAATACCTACCATTTAAAAGACAGTGTTTGCTGGGAAAGTTTTCGATTTAACACTTTGGAAATATAGGGCAGAGAATCTTATAAAAGCACCTACTAGAGCACCTGATATATACTAAATATTCAGTAAGTGTTTACTTGAAATGGAGGTCTTTATTTTCATCAATATGATCCTTATTTTCATAAATGATAGTAAATATTTACTGAATTTACTTTAAAATAAATCCTATAGCTCTAAAATATCTAAGGATACTGAAAGCAAAGATTCAGATTTCTTATGTTCTCTTCAATTGTATTAGAATACTTTGGGTCTTTTTTGATAATGAACAATTTAAAAACCCTGCAAAATGATTAATAAGCACAACCACCAAAAAAATAACCTTTTAATTTAGAAACAAATAATACGTATTACTGTCAATTCTTTTTCTTGGGTTTTTTTTCTTTTTTTTTTTTCTGTTTCAGATAGGAGCTGCTTTGAGAATTTTAAATTATATAGGAATGTTTTTACTACCGTATGGTAGGGCTTTTTAAAATCACATTTTAAAGACACAAATTTCTGTAAGATGTTTTACATGATTTCGACTTAAGAGTTAGTCTGATCATGTGGAAAGTTAGCCCTTTTATCTTGTCACTTTTTTTTGGCTATTTCATGATGAGACCCGTTATCTTAGGTTACTGGAGGAAAACCATAAGGATACCTTTTCCTCTGCTAAGAATGTTACTGGGATGTGCATTTTATCTTGTAAGGTTGTTTGTTTGTAAAAGAAAGATCAGTTAATAATGCCTTATCAGTAAATATCTGACCAGGTTAAAGATGTTCCGTGGTTACTGATGTTTTAAGTACTATGATCCTCTAAGTATATAATTACTGTTAATATAGTGATTAACAAAAATGACTGAAATACTTTTTAGAAAGTTACAAAACAGGCACTGGTTTAAAAGGGCCTCAAAACTTTTAGTTCAGTTGGTTGATGAGAGAGAATAGTTCACTAACTTAGTGTCTCTGTTGAAGATAGCACTGCCTTTAACTTTTTTTTTTATAAATTTATTTTATTTATTTATTTATGGCTGCATTGAGTCTTCGTTGCTGCGTGCAGGCTTTCTCTAGTTTGCGGCGAGCGGGGGTACTCTTTGTTGCGGTGCGTGGGCTTCTCATTGCGGTGGCTTCTCTTGTTGCAGAGCACGGGCTCTAGGTGCGCAGGCTTCAGTAGTTGTGGTGCACGGGCTCAGTTGCTCCGCGGCATACGAGATCTTCCCGGACCAGGGCTCGAACCCATGTCCCCTGCATTGGCAGGTGGATTCTTAACTACTGCATCACCAGGGAAGTCCCAACACTGCCTTTAACTTTTTAAATAATATTTCTATGAGACCTTAGAGTTAATAATTCCAAAGGCAGATAAGAAATTGAATAGAGCAATATTTTACTTTGTTGTTGTCATTAAAATCTGGTTAAATTTTTAATCTATATTTTTAAGAGGAGAGAGATGAAAGTTTAAATGCTAATATACGTGATATAACCAACAGAGCCTTGGGATGGCTGTTTAGTATCATAGATCTCGAAAATTGACGTAACTTACAAGAGCAGTCTTAGTGCAGCCTTGGTGTAGGTAAAGGCATCTTTTCACACTTTTGCAAATTCATCCCATAGTTTTTTTTTCTTCTTCTTCTATACTTACCCAAGGGAGACTGATTCCATGTAATAGATATTTTTTCCTTTTATCATGGAAGTAGCAAACATGATTTTTTTTTTTCTTTTTTTTTTTTTTTGCGGTACGCGGGCCTCTCACTGTTGTGGCCTCTCCCGTTGCGGAGCACAGCCTCCGGACGCGCAGGCTTAGCGGCCATAGCACACGGACCTAGCCGCTCCACGGCATGCGGGATCTTCCCGGACCGGGGCACGAACCTGTGTCCCATGCATCAGCAGGCAGACTCTCAAACAATGCGCCACCAGGGAAGCCCCCAAACATGACTTTTTGAGATTTTTTTTTTCCCCCTCCAAGTATTAGTTCTATTTTCATAATACCAAAAGTACCTTGGAAATACTTAGTAAGCCTAAAATTTTGGGCACCAAAAGGGCCACTGTAACTTTTCTTCTATATCAGTATATACATATATAGACTCACACTGTATTTTCATTCTGTGAGCATCATCTCCATAGCTAGACTGTACGTTTCATTTCAGTAACTACATTTCAGTAACATACACACAAACACAAACTGTAAAGCACTCTCTCTCGAAAAGAGAACAAGTGTCTGAAGACAAAACTCATTTTACCGAACACACAGTGAGTTACATTGAAGCAGCTAAGATGGGTTTGGCTAATACAGTTCCTTTAGTAGAATGTTAAGTGAAAGCTAACCACACTTTAGAAGATCACTTATACTTCTTTTTTGGCGTATGGTGTTAATTAGATTTGTTTTCATTAAGTGTTCCACTATGAAAAAGAAACCAAGTTGAGTTTGCTGTTATTGGAACCTCTACATACTGACCGGATCACCTGTACCAATTCACCCCAGCTCTGCACCATCTGTTCTTTGACCCGTTTTCCTTGCTAAATGTGTAGCTTCAGGCTGAGTTCTCTTTCCTTCGAGAAACAATTGACCTTTTTGGGAGGGGTGACAGTGTGCCGTGGTGGAATCTATATGTTCCTTATTTGCGTTGACAGATTACAGTGAAAAACCCATTTTGTTCCTCAATTAAGAAAGGAGTTTTCAGCGTATTAATTGTCATAATTCACTAGTTAAATTGCTAAATACTACTCCGGATAAATACAAAGAATTTGTTAGTAGCTTTGTAAAAAAAATCAATGCAAAGTATATTTTAACTCAGATATACCTAAACTGTAAGACTTACTTTATTATAGATGCAATATTTTAAATGTTAATGGTAACCACAAAGAACACTCAAATTTTAAAAACAGGAAACAAAACCTGTCTGGCATGTAAAACCAACTTTAGTGTGATTATTAACTGCAGGTTTTCTAAATTAAGGTCAGGAAGCCTCACATTTCTTGCTTGTGCAGTAACATTCTCTTGCCTGTAAGGATGTAAACTGATTCTGCCCCTCTCCATAGTCACTAATCTCCTGCATCCTAGTTGTGATAACAGACTGATTGGAGATGTTCTGCCTGCTTGGAAAAGGCCCAGGTGGGTAGCAAAACAAAAGATAGGTGGATAGACTTAAACAGGCTTTTGTAATTAGCTTAATGCCACCGTGAGATGTGTAGTTAGAGAAGCATTTCATATGCAGGTGAAAAGGAGGGAGAATAATAAAATTCCCAATTTTATTTTATATAGCCGCAACTAGAGAGGAGATACCTGTTGGGGGAATATTTATATGTTATTATGGCAGTTGTTTCAAAAAATGTAAGCAGATTATTCAATAGAAAATAAACTTTTGTCAGTGAACTAAATATATAGTATATATAATGCTGAAAGGCATATATTAACATTTAAAATACTTCATCAGTAGTAAAGCAGTTGTTACAGTTTAGGTATATCTCAGCTAAAATAGACTTTGCATTAATTTTTTAACAAAGCTAATAACATTCCTTGTACTTATCCAGAGTAGAATTCAGCAATTTAACTCGTATATATTTGGGCAAATGTATCATTGCTATTACTTTTATTTAGAGTCAGACTAGTCCTACACAGGCTGTAAAGGGGAAAAGAACTGTCGCCACCCCCTGCATTGGGCTCCCTGCCACAGCGGTTCTCCAGAGCAGCCTCATCTCTGCTCCTCTCGCTCCCCCACCTGCTCAACCCCACGACCTTCAAGGGTACTTAAATTTTAAAAAGGAAGGGGTCCTTTATACCATTCTTCTTGCTAGATGAGTCACTAAAATCTAATAATTTTCAATCTGACATTAATAGATGATAATAATGTGTTATCAAATCTCTCTCTCACACACACACACTTTGTTGTATGTCATTCCAGACTTTAGTCTTCTTATATAGGCATATGACTACATAATTTTAACAGTATTAATCTGTATCCTGCCCTTTTCACTTTGCTATAAGCTTCTTTCCACGACAACAAAGACCCACATCATCTTTCTAAACACCTGTACAATACTCCATGTTGTCTGGATATAATTAAGGAGCACCCAGGTGATTGTCACTTAAATTGCTTCCCTTTTTTTCTTCATTCATCTTTCCATTTATATCTGTTTCCTTAGCTTGTATGCCTAGGAGTGGAGAAGCTTGATTCAAGACTATGGATGTTTTTAGAACCTTTGGTGACTCTAAAATTGGCCTCCAGAGAGGTGATAATATTATACAATGCCCCTGGTGGTATGAGAGGACACTTCCTCATAGTCTCATAAACACAGAACGTTTGTTTTTTTTCCATCACTGCTCATCAAGTAAGTGAAAAGTGCTATGGCACTGATTTTTATAACTTG